CAGGGGCGGGAATTTGTGTGCATTTTCTCTCTATGCTATGTCATCTTAAATATAAAATTGTAAGAAAAAAAGAGACTATTGAACCAATTTCCTTTGGTAAAGTGGAAGAAAGCAGCTTCTCTTATTGGAGTGTTTCTTTATTGGTTTTTTGCTTCTGCTGTTTTCAAACTGTTTTGCAAATGAACCAGCTTCTGTGTGTGTTATAAGAACGCTATGTTCCCCCCAGCAGCTACCAGGCACAGGTTGAAGTTTGGTAGCATCAATCCCAAAACTGTTCCCAAGCTCCCAGTCTCCTAGGATTGTTTTTAAGCTTTCAACAGCCTCACAAAACAGTATGTCTTGTTAGAGTAAGTACTGGGGTGACTTTTATTGTTGTTTATAGTTGATGTTGTGCAATTTATTGCAATAAATTGGGACATCTTGTGATGTGATGACAGCTGGAAGTCTGCGCGTGTTCTAATTTCTTAACTGCTCCTTGTAAAAGCCGACCGATCGGCTGGTGTTTCTGGTGATACTGTTTTTAATTATCATTGTAAATGGCCTAGGACCTGTGTGTCTGAAGCATTTCCTTCTTGTGCCGTATTACTCGGGAACGCCGGTAGCTGAACTGGGGCATGCAAGAAGGAGCTCCTCTTGGGGAGGAGAGGTGGACGTGGCAGGGAGGCACCTGTGAGCTCCCACTCGGGAACGTGCTTCCCGGTGGTGTGAAACACTGAATCTTTCAGTGTTCTGGGCACATCTGTCTGAGACTTCCTGGTTAATATTGTACAAGTGTTTCACATAACAATGAACAGAATTGTTTTGTAGTAATAGTAGCTGTTTAAACTACTTTAGGGATATTAAGGTATAATTGATTGTGTCATATTGTATAATTGTATCATTAGGGACCGGTTAGTGCCTACAGGCTTACATAGGCAATTCTTACTTTAATGAATCTAAGGTTTCTCTTATTGCTATGTTTCTACTGCAACAAATTAAAAGGAAAACTATTACTGTCCTGTGTAATTGTGTTCCTCCCGCATCTTGAAGTGTAGTAAATTCAATGAGGTGATGAAAGTGCTGTTAGATCTGAACTGGAGAATTCTTAGTTTATTTTAGTAACTCTGTTTTTATTTTCTTTTCCCTTTTAGTGTATAATTCAGCTGAGCAACTCTTTCACCTCAATTTCAGAGGACTGTCGTTTTCTTTTCAGTTAGACTCCTGGACTGAAACTCCGAAGTACGAGGTCAGCAATCATTCTTAGTTAATGGATAGTCTTTTTGCCTCTATGGTACTTGCAAAATATCACCTACAGCGTGTCTCACCTGCAAGCAAAAGAAACCAGTAATTTGGAAGGAATTTAACTCCTCGGTTGTGCTCTTATTCATGCTATGTAATCATTTCAAAGTTAAAAATTTTCTTCCATTTAGCAGAAGGCATGTGCTTAGAGGTTTTGCTTGCATCATGAACTGGGACTAGCAATTCTGTTGTTGAAAGGAGTCTTCTAAAAATATAAGCACTCTCTATGCAAATGCATAAATATTAAGCAATCTACTGGGAGGCTGTGCTTTTATCAGATATTTTTGAATCTCATCAAAGTGATTACGCAACTTAACTAGGGCAGAGTTCATAAAATACCTTTTCATCTTAAGTGTCCTTCAGTATGAGTGCTTTTAGAAAGCCAAATGAATGAGCTTTGCTTGTAATGCCTGTTCGCATATTCACCAAATGTTTGGATGAGTTACTGAATAATTGAATGTATTACTGCGTTCCACGAAATCTTTGGAAATCGCTGTCTATAGTGGAAACAAGGTCAGGTCTCTGATTTCCACCTATACTAACAAAAATGTATGTATAACTTGTTTTGTGTGAGGATGGAAACGCTCTCAGTTGTATTATTTAGGCTTAGCAGATAAAAAGAATGCATGCTGTATGGTATTAAAATAAAAAGGAGCATATAAAGAGCCAAAACAAAGTGGGGAGGAATCAACCAATATGATGACACGTGTTTTGATGTCACAGCCTAGTACTTCAGTAGCTGTGTTTTCACACGTGAGAGAGCAGGGGGTAACCAGGGGAAGTTACTATTTAGCAGTAGTGAAGGTCAGTTGGGTTTCAGAAATATTGGAAGGTAAATAGAAACCTAATAAGCCGTAAGAAAGAATGTCCCAACAAAGAGTAGTTGCTTTTCATGCAAGCATTCCCAGGGCGTTTATGAATGAAATGGCCGAGCTGCTAAGAAAGTCAATTGTTACACCAAAGATTTGAGAAGATAATAGAATCATAGAATATCTCAAGTTGGAAGGGACCCATAAGGATCGTCAAGTCCAATTCCCTGCTCCTTGCAGGGCTACGTAAAACTGAAAGATGTTAAAATAAACCCACAAGAATCAATTTTAGCCATTGCATCTGTGTGTCTTGTTTTGGTACATGGTTCAGTTAACTAAGAAAATAATTAAGGATAGTTACAGAACGCTTGGTGCGAATATGCTTTGAGAGGGACATAGTGTGGCTCTTGAGGATGATACAGTTCTTCATAGCTGCCGGAACAGTGGAGAAAATAATTTTGCATTCTCAAAGTCTTTCATCCGGTTGCCTAAATGAGGTTAGTAAAATGTTGTTTGCACAGAGTGAAAGGCAAAATTCTCCCCAGGATTATAAATAGGTAGAAATAGGATAGTTTAGAAAACAGAGTAGTATGAAACAGTCCACAGGGAAGACAACTATTTGTTCCTCCCCAGAAGGTCCACATTAGGAAAGACTTGAAGAGTGAAATGAAATTTGAAGATGTCAAAATCTTTCAAGTTCAGAGAGGATCATATAGGAATGCTAAACTAGTTAGCAAAGCAGTGTAATCTCTGCTTATGGAAATGAAAAAACTCTGAAGAAAACTTTGGGGTTTTTATATAGCTGGTAACAAACTGTTGGTGAGGAGAACATGAAAACCTGCTTACACCGTTTCCGTTCAGAAACGAGGCGCGTGTGGCCCAGGCACTTCCATGGTTCTAGAGAAGATTTATCTGTTGCTGAGGCATAAGTATGTTAAGAAGTAATCTAAAGTCTGACTACTTTAGAAAGCTGTGTTTTGAGGTGTTCGTGTTCTGGTCAAATTCAGAAAGATTGAAATCGGGGCATCTCTAGATTTGCAAAGTAGTGGAGGTTCCCTTCTAAATACCTACAGCAGTGAAAGTCATTGCTCTGGGTTAATTTTTTTTTTCCTAAGAACTTTTTTGTGTTTACCTTATGTGATGTCCTGCTAAAGCAGAGCAGGATAATAGTTTGCATATTGTGCATCTTGGTTTTTTGTGTGTGACAAAGTTTCTTTTCTGTCCAGTGCCAGCAAAGTACGTTGACAGTCTTGAAGAAGGTCCTATCAACTTCAGAGTTGAAAGAAGTAGGCCCTTACCGCACTAGAAGAATGAATCTGACTTCCTTAGCATGCTTTCTAGTTGATGAGAACACTCAAAATCCCTATCAAAACAATGTGTAAGAATGTGCTGATAAGGAGAGTGGAAAATCTGTTTAACAAATGAGTCTCTGCTCATCAGATAAAGGCCTTTTACAAACCAGCAAAAACGTTAAAAGGCTGAAATCAATGCAGTGGGAGAGGACAAAGAAGTTCTACCTTTCAGATAGCCAATTTCTTAGAACTTAAATACAGCATAGCAGTGCAAATACTTTTATATTGCTAGTTGCCAGTGATCAAACCAAGAAAACTTGAATTCTCAGTACACACAATGGCTAATTGTCAGACTAGTGCCATCTTTTGGTGGATAAGCATAGTGAGCATTTCACTCCAGCTTGGGAATCCGGGAGTGGTGTAGTGTAAGGAACGCCATCTGGAAGGGTTTTTTGTTGTTGTTTTTCCCCCTTGTCTTTGGCTAGAGATTTACCTGAATTGGTAAGCATATACTGTATTTCTGTTGTAATTTATAACTTTGACCTGAAGTGTCCGGTGTATCATGTAACAAGAATGATTGTGTATATCCACAGCCTAACTTTGCCCATGGTCTAGCCTCTCTGCAAATTCCACATGGTGCGACTGTGAAACGTATGTACATCTACAACGGAAACAGTCTGCAGGATACCAAGTATGTACAACTGGTTGTGCTGTTTTGATCGTTTAGAATATACTTTTTCTTCCTCATTTATTTAGGGCTTTGCGAATGCTAAATATAATCATATACTTTCTTGGTTCAGTTTGGGTCTTTTATGAATTTGGTAGCGTGCAGAATGCCTTTAGATACCAACCTCTTTCAAATTTCCATAGGCGTTGTCCTCAGACCTTGTAATCAAATGTTGATTTGATTTATGTTGCTATAAAATCGGCTTGGCTCAGCTGTAGTAGGCTAATTCAATTGACCTGAAAAAGAATTCATGAAGTAAAGGAGGAAATGTAGTGAGTCTGGTAAGAGATGCCGTTAGGATATTCTTACTCTATATTTTGTTTGCATGCTAATGACCTCTCCCTAGACAATCAAAGTACCCATACACAACACTGGTACTATGTATGTCATGGCAGGGTCCTGCCAAGGGTCTTAAACTCACTCACAATACAAAAATAATAAAATATGTATTTTCAAGCTTAAGCCGTATGCATAATCTACCATATATTCAATATATTTGCAGTTACCTGACTCAACGTACCATTCTGAGGAAACTAATCTTCATGCCTTAATACTAATCGAATAGTTGTATTTTAATATGGTTAATGTTTTCTGTGGTACTGTAGTCTGTATTCTTTTAAGCAGTAGTTTACTGTACAACATCTGCTGATTTGCTCTTTCTAAAAATGTCGTTCCTGGGGTTCCTTACTCAAGGAAAAATTGAAAGGACTACTGTAAATTCTTCCTTTCAGCTTATAAATACCCAAACTGATAAGGTGGTAGTTTTTGCAGAGACAGTTGTGTGTTAATGCTAGGAGAAGATTAACGCGTCTGTGGATTACTGCTCAGAAGGGAGGGAACCTTGTTTGTGCAGACATTGTCTCCTAATTAGAAATAAGTGCACTTCAGAAAAATGTTGTTGTCTGTGCCCATCTGTGACACGGTGGGCTTTAGTGAAAGCACTAATTGTTGCACGGGGCTCTGGTGGGTGTGTGTGAGAGCTCAAAGCCTGACTTTCAGCTCATGTCACTCACACACAGGAGAAATTCACCTAAGAAAAGTGAATTTTACAGAGCGTATACAAACTAACACACAAAAAAGCAGCCCTTCCACTGAAAATATCTTCCTTGGGGCTGTTATAATTTTCTCAGATATTATTGTAATTGAATTAAAATGAGAATTGTCCCAGTAAAGCAGAACAATTGTTTGTGGTGTACCTGCACGAGCTGAATTCACGTTCTGGGCTATGGAGTACCTTCCCAAGAGCAGTGAGAGCATCACAGAGAAGGCTGCCTTTGGGTGATATGCCTAGTTCAAGGAGTAGGTATCTTTAAACACTGTACAACTTCCATTTTCCCAGAGAGAAGTCTGAAATGATACGTCCTCATAGGAGGTATCCAAAGGCTAGATACAGTTTCTGTAACTTCTGGAGTCTTTGGAACTTGCTGTTTGTTTCATTAATAGTAAAGGTCCTGCATTTGAGTGCTGCCTTGCTGTTCCTCTTCCTTTTTCCCCAGGCTTTCTGATCCTTGTGTTTAATATAACTTACAACTTTCAGTCTGAGTTAAATGCAGCTTTGTCAAAATTAGCGTGCTGTGTTCCAGTGAACTGGTAGCACCTTGTTAATGGAAAATTTGAAGATTAAGCAAATCTTATGCACGTTTTTTGTATGATTGGTTTCAGGGCTCCCTTGATGCCCCTCAGCTGTTTCCTTGGTAATGTGTATGCTGAGAACGTTGATGTTCTGAGAGATGGAACTGGACCCTCAGGTTTACGGCTTCGCCTACTCACTGCAGGTATTAGTGACACTCAGAACGTTGAACTGGTTGCTTTCCTCAGGAAAAGAGGGATAAACCTGTATAAATTAAGCATAGGTTATTTGTGATGATTTTACAGGTGATTTCAAAGTGTTCTATATACCTTATTTTGAACTATTGGAAACAAAACCCAATAAAAACCCTGTGAAGGTGAGTGCCTGCTGCTGCATTTCCCTGGCCCTGGAGGAATCACGGGGGACTGTAGCCCTGCCCTCTGTAGTTCCAAGTCCTTAGAGTCTGTTTGCAGAAATGGCATTTGTCTCCAGGTGTATGTGTAGAATAAAACAGATGCGAGTACATCACTGAACAAAACATGAGAAATCAAGAAACCTTATGTACATGTGCTTTTTCTGAGATTTCAGTGAGCTGTATAATATTGATATTTTTGTGATTAATTCTGGAAGGCTTTTAAAAAATGCCAGCAAGAGACTACATCAATGCTGCAGCCATAGACTGCGCTTTAAATTCAATTCCGTTTTCATTCGCTGTAGGAGACAGCAGTGAAAGCAACAGGCTGATGAATACCTTCTCCTTGTGTGTGCTTTCAGAGACGCGGGGAGGTGGGGCTCAGAAA